CGGGCTCTTCCTAATTTGCATAATCCGTAATCGGCCCGTGGGCATTATGGGAGAATAATGCCCTACAATTCAGTGACAATTAACCAATCAGAGCGTGCGTTATATCGGCCACAAGCCAAAGCCATATAATAAATTATTTTTATTATACATATTATAATTATGTTATAACAAAAATGTAAATATCGTGTTATTACTCACAAAGTCCTTTTGACAAAGCAACGAATATCTATAAGCTAAAGTTCTGGCCACCACCTTGAGTATCAAAAAAACCCTTTAAAAGAAACTGTAGGCTTTTATTCCAGTATATTTCTGAAGCCCTGGCTTGGTCCTTGGTATTTCCTCCCATAAACCAAACTTCATCATAAACTTTAGAATAATGCCTCAAACCAGGAGGAAGGTAACAGGGTGTTATGAAATGTCCTGTTCCAGGAAAACCAAGTCTTGTACATAAGAATCCTTTGCCATGTTGCTCCATGCACTGAAATAAATCCCCAAACATCCACTCTATTTCAGGGTTTAGTTTGTCGTCATGGCCATACACCAACAAAACTGGACATGTGATGTGCTCTACAGGAATGATCCATGGTGATCCTGGTTTACAAGCCTCTTTAATAGTTTTAAAAGTCGACACATAACGCTTATAGCGAGAGCAATTGTTAGCCACAGTTTGATCAATAGGAAATCCTTGAATGGACAAAGTACTGCACTTTAATAAGCATCCAATCAGAACATGTGGCCCTGAAATTGATACAACTGCTTTGATCTTGTGGGGGATCTGTGAAGCGATTGCCAGTGCAAGGACCCCACCCATAGACAGACCAACCAAACTAACACCTCCAGATGCCACCCGAGGATGCGCCATTAACCAGTCGATTGTCCTCTCAAAATAAGAAAGGTCAAGGACATCACACTTGTCAGGAAGATCTTTAAATTGAGAGTACGCTATTGTTAAGGATGCAAAGCCATTAGATGCCAAAAGAGCAGCTCTGTCTTCTCTTATACCACCAGTGCGTCCCCACATGTCAATAACACCTAAGTATGAACCATTATTGAATTAGGAATGTAAATGAAAATCTTTGATATTGAAACATCTAAAAGACATTTGGGTAAGTTAATTGACTTAAGATAATTCCTCTGAAATAAAAGTGACAATAGATTTTTGTTCAACCTTTGTCCACTGAATATTTGTCATATGATAACTTCAATTTTGAAATAAAAAAGGGGGGTGCCCATGCTCATTAAGAAGCAGTGAGGCATTGAAAATGCCCCATTTTGGCATTACTTAATGCTTATTATAAGAATGCATTCCCAGTAACTGTAACATCTTTGTGAGCCCGGACTCATAAGAACACGCATTAAACTACAGTCAGTACATTGTGTCAGACACAAATAAACGTTTCAAGTTTGATTCAGACAGAAAGCTAAATCCTTGGTTAAAAATTTGAACCAAATTTCTTGACGTGGTTACCAACTGCCAAATAGAAAAGACCACCGTGTATCTGCCATTTTTCTTATTTATTCAATTTTCAGCAATAGAAATTAGATCAGTCTTTTCTCACACAAAGCTTATGATTAGTTGATTACAATGAGTGGAAAAAAAAAATTGGGGTGCCCGTGCTCGTTAGTGAGCTAGAGCCATTTTTCAACCAACAGAGCTCAATATCAAGGCAAATCCGTCATGTTTTCAATGTGCGCGTGCTTGAGCGCGCGCTAATGACGCCATAAATTATACGCAGTAAGGATGCACAATGTAAATGAGAGGAATGACCTTAAAGTGTGGTCTGATTATCTGATTATGACTTATTGATCCAGGAATGTTACATAAATGATAATAATCTTTCATGTGGAGGAGATGGAGGGCTTGAACATACTTCTCCCTGTACCTTATTACCACTTCAGTCCTTAGTGGTTATCACCCGTTGTTACCTTTCCTATTTTATAATATTATGTGATATTGCAATTTCTTTTTTCCTATCTAACCTGATTCCTGCGCTCCTGCTTCTCCTCTCCGCCCCCTCCCCAGACCTCCCTTACTCTCACTTCAATACTTAATTACATGTAACTTCCCTCTAGTTCAAAGTAAATTTAAAATGCAAACACCTGGAAAGGGTCCATTTCCAGGTGGTAGAAACAGAGTCCCATAAAATCCGTTTTCCTCCATGTAACATCGGGTTACGCCAGGTCCCATGTAACTTCTTAGCAATGTCACGCTAGCCTTCTTGTCCCTTTCTTCAAACTCTCTTTGATCGTGTCCTCCGTAAACATCTAAGGTTACTTTCAAAGGTGTTGTTACATCTCGTTTTCTGAACAAATCGTCACGATCAGGTCGCGTAACAGGTTTCACGCTCCAGAACAAGCCCATCGGTTCAACACCTGTGTATGATCCACCCAGAGATGGCTGAGAAGAAACCAATACTTCTCCATTCTTGTCGGCCTTGTATTGAGCAAATGATTCAAAGGCAATCTTGCTATCGTCGATGGTTCGGGCTCGCAGAGTAACAAACTGTTCTGGAGATAGATTGCTAACAGCTATGCCAACTTTTTGATCAACTCTCGTTGTTAGAGCAGGATGAACAGCGATCTTAGGCAGTGAAATCGAAGCCATAAGAATTGAACTTGCGATGTGCTACAGAAAGAGTCGATGCACCAATGGCATTGAAAACCTTTAAACTACATATGTAATACTTGAACTATACTTGGTGCTTCAGGGTATGTACAATTCTTCGAACCAGCGATTTAAATGGTGATCAGATTTTAAAATGTTCCATGAGTAAAAGTTTTCGTGCGACCGCCATCTTGGATTGGTGCGCAAGTAGACTGGTAACTACTTTATCAGAGAAGTATGGCGGCGATTCGTTTATGTTTGGAGGGAGGGCCGTTTGGTGTCTTTGGAGCAGATCAACTACACGTGCAAATCTGCCAACGCCGGCGCCTTTAGGCGTATAATGTCTCACGCCTGTGGGAAGGTACTAAAGGTCTCTCTTTTTTTCGCTTAAAGCTCGTGTAATGACTACTAAGAGCTGACAAAGGTTTTGCCCGCCTTATAATTTAGATGGAGCATTCTCTCTTTTCGCGCAACGGGAAGTCTGTCTGGACATTATAAGTTTCCAGCTAAATATTCACACATCATTTGCCATGCACAAAACTCGCAGAAATTCGTGACGTAATTTAAAAAAAGTAAACTTGGATAAATAGGATAAATTAAAAAGAAGAGTGCGAAAAAAGTGACGTTTATGCTAGGTTTGACATTTTTTGGCGGGAAATTGACGTCATGAAATTGGTGGCAACTTCTGGTGAAATACGCTCAATAACTGAATTCTCAAGTTGATTTGTTGGTAAAGAGTGAGATCTTTGACGGCGTAGCCGTTGTTTGTGAAGCTGCAGGTGTCACCCTGCTTGGGGGGTTTGGGGGCATGCTTTCCCAGGAAATTTTGAAAAATGTAAGTAGCTAAGACGTGTTTTCCTTCATTCTGAGCAGAAATGTGATGCTTTAAAAGCAACTGTTTAGATCGCAGAATTTTCTTTTTATTGGACCAATATCAACTCTTTCTTAACATTCTGACTTACATTTATCTAGAAGTCAAATTAACATGTTATAACGCTTGTTCTACATGGTGTCAGTCTGATCACTGACAGAACAAGGATGAATTATATCATAAAAGATAGTTTATTATGAAGGAACTTCACTAAAGCAGCAGGCAATGTTAAATGCATGAGAAATAATAGTTTCAGCGTGAGAGCGTAAGATTGAATTTGTTTGCGTGAGTCTCGTGTACTAAAGGCATCCACGATCGAGTGTTGATTGATACCATCAGTAGACTCTCAATTAAGACTCAATCATTATCTCGACTGACACTCGATCAACATCTCAATTGATACTTGATCGGCACTAGATTGACACTTGATTGACGTTTCGATCAACACTTGATTGACACTCGATTGACAGTTGGTTGATGGTTGGCAGAGTGTCAACAAATTCATATATGTACTGATCAACACTCCATGGCGTGTCTGCGAAAATTAGTTGACTCTCAACTGACTGTCAATCGAGATGTTGATCAAATATTGACCGAATATTGATGGAGATGTCAATTGAGGGTATGGATACCTTTAGTTCACATAATCTACCTAGCTGAGTAACATTCTGGTTAACCTAACTAGTGCTCCCATTAGCCAATGACTCAACAGTGGTTAGCTCTCAATGATTGTAAGGGTTAATCCTTACAGAAACCGGTATCCCACATTGACTCTTTCCTGTATTACCATTTTTCATCATTACATCATTTTGTGTCTTAAACACCCTCTGACCTTTGACATAACATTTACTGGAAGAACGAGATCAAAATAATGGCACTGCTTTACTTAAAACACATCACACAGCAGATAATGCCTTTAATTCTACAGCAACTGTGAATTGCGTAACATAAAATCATCCCTAGAATTTAACCTTGCATGAAAATCCTAATGCTTATTGAAACATGCACATAAAAGCTTATTTCATGAATCATGACTGAAGTGTCACTCACATTGTCTAACAAGAAAGTTGATGAAAGTTGAAGAGAGATCACCATTAAGGACTTAATTCCAACAATTGCTCAAATTTTCTGAATTAAAATATGAAGTTTAAACATCTAGATCACTAATGTTTCTTTCCGAGATAAAAAGAACATCTCGGATAGGATTTAAAGTTAATACATGTCATAAGCTAGTTTTGATATTAAAATTCTTATAACATCAAGGTTGGGCCCCCTCAGCATTGGCACCACCTTAGAAATATTTTAAAATACAGAAGAAATTGGCCTACATAATTTATAAGCAAAAAAGAAGAAAAAATTTAGGACATAATCTGACAGCTGTCATTTATAAGTCTTCATTATAAAATTGTGATTTTTTTGTTGGAAGGTAGAGCAGGATGATGAGGTTTCTTTTTGTTTTTTGTTTTTTTTTCTAGCTATGCCATTTCAGATGCAGCTTACCGTTCAATGAAAGAGGAGAGAATCGATCAATGTGTGTTAATTTCTGGGGAAAGTGGAGCTGGAAAGACAGGTAAATAAACGTGGTTAGTTCAGTGGCAGATGTATGTGATATGGTACTAAATTGTGAAACAATTTTGTGCTAGACACTCGAGTTGAAAATATTCTCAGTCCTGTTAACAACGATAAATTCTTTTGTTACTATAATTAGAAGCATCTAAGAAGATATTGGAGTATTTGGCAGCAATCAGTACTTACTCAGATGACGTGGAACGAATCAAAGACCGACTCCTTCAAAGTAACCCTGTTTTAGAGGTAATTAAAAGAGGTCAAAAAGTGTTTGAGTCAAACACTTTCTGCAAACACTTCTGCAAACAGTTGTCTATTTGATCTATTCTGTGAAATCTAGCTAATCGGCCATGTCAGAGAGCATCTAAAGGTGGCTTGTTGCATGCAACAACATTGCATGAGGACTCTGACAGTTTTGGAAAATGTTCAGTGCAGTGATGTCAAAAGTATTAAACTTCAGCATGTAATAAATTTCTGGTTTGATTAATGAATCAACATTGTGTTTTTTTCTTTAGGCATTTGGCAATGCAAGAACCAATCGAAATGATAACTCAAGTCGATTTGGCAAGTACATGGACATTCAGTTTGATTTCAAGGTAAGTGTTAAATACTTATGGCTACTGAAGGCCAATCTGAAAGCTGGAAGCAGTTACACTTTTACATTTACGTTTCTGTTAGTTGAAGCATATGATGAAATTACAGTTGCTTACATGTGTAGCATGCACCATACTGTTGATATCCTACTCATTACGTCCACTGATTACTTATCACTCATGTGCTCTAGCAATGTAAAGTAGACTATTGTTTCAAGAATACCCAATAGCAAACTAACATCTGTACTTTCATAATCGCTAGGAGCATAATCCCTAGTTGTTGAAATTCCTTATGTGTTTTAAAGGGATCCCCGGTTGGAGGACATATTATCAACTATTTGTTGGAAAAGTCTAGAGTTGTCCATCAGGCAAAAGGTTTGTCCTGTATTTTGGCAAATTTACAGTAAAGTAAAAAAATTATGGAAAGTTTTAAGTGATAACATCTTATTACAAGTATTCAAATGGTTTCACTGTGTTGTTCCAGAAAATATCTATACACCTCCCACTTAACGAATTTTGGTTTGAACTCCCCTTCCTCCAATCCCTTTGGAAATTCCAGTTTTGATTTATACTTTCCTTTAAATATTTTGTTTGCTGAGACTTCCCTCTCCTGTGGAGTTTCCAAAAACCATCCTTGGGATGGTGTTTTGAAATTTTCTGGAACCACCCATTAACCTAACTTCGGTTAACAAAAAGTCTGCATCAGGCAAAAGTGTTTTACTATGCCTAACTTCAGTCTGGTTTCCATAGCATTAAGCTGCAAGTAGTTCTACTCCCCCATGAAATGGGATCATTTTAGTCCATCTCAAAGTTACTCCCAGCATTGAATTCACTGCTGGTGTGAGGCAGAGTAAACTGCCTCACTCCACGAAGCACAAAGCAATGACCTCAGCTAGGGTTCAAACACAGGTGACTCACCACAGCTTTTCTTGGGAATTGAAGCCTGAGTCCACTGGTTCAGGATTTCATCCCAGCACTTCAGCTGTTGTGTTTTTGGGCAAGATGCTTTATTCAGAGTGTCTTTCCAGGTATAGGTGACTATAAGATGTTGGGAGTGGCTCATGATCGCTATAGCTACACCTTTAGCATCAAATCAGTTACAAGCAGAGGGAGTATCACTGTTCTGAACTTGTCACTCAATGCTATGGGTAAAGTCTGCATCAGAAAATGGCCCAAGTGATTGGTTTAAGTAGCATGAAACAACTAGGAGTATTCTTCTCCTGTCTGGATGGGATGCTAGTCCATCACAGGGCTACCCCCAGCATTTAATTTGCCAGTAGCCATTTATATACCTGGGTGGATAATGCTGTTGTGAGAGTACAGTGTCTTACCCAAGGACACAACACAATTCCCCCGGCCAAGGAAGGCTCGATCCATAGACCAGCGTGCTAACTATTAGGCCACCATGCCTGTCAACAATGCTATAGAATCAAGGGTTAAGCATAAGTCTAATGAGTCACCAAGCAGATGTAACCTGCTCATTACCTACCTAGCTACCTACCTGCCAGGTTCTCTTGGCTACCTACCTACACCTCCCTACATCCCTTGGCTAACTAACTACCTACCATATTGTGATGTTTTTCATGCTTTTTTCTAAGGTGAAAGAAATTTCCACATCTTCTACCAGTTATTGCAAGGGGGTAGTGACGAGTTGCTGGAGAAGCTTCAGTTAGAACGAGAAAGTCTAAAATATTTTTACCTCAACCAGGTATATTGGAAAAGCTTTATAACAGGCACAGCTGTGCTTATTTCTTTGTTCAATACAAGAAACAATATTTTTTGTGCCTGTACCTCAATGGCATAATTTATGTTTTACCTGTCAGTGATACTTGCAGATACTTCGCTTTCCACTTTAGTTTGACCCACACTGACAAGCTAAACACTTTAGCACAGATGCAGCATTTACTTCGCTATACTTGATATAAAACTAGATAGCGGCAGAACTTGTTCAAATTATGTACATTGTGGTCCAAACAATTAACTTAAACATGCAGAGCTTAATGGTCTGTTCTATGTCTTTAAGAATTTCATGGTGCGTGGAGTCGATGGATTGATTCTTTCTAGTTTTTTTACCTGTCTCGACTATTAACCTTAAATAAAAGAAACTGAGTTCTCTTTGGAAAATTATTTCGTCAGGGTGGTGATACTCATGTGGAAACATTAAACGATGCCTCAGACTTCAAGCGTGTGAGGAAAGCTCTGTCCGTTATTGAGTTCTCTGCTGAAGAACAAGATGCACTCTTCGCTATTATTGCCTCTGTCATCCACCTGGGAACAGTTGGGTTTTTGGAGCCTGAAATTGAACATGGTGAAGTTAAACTAGAAAATGGGAGACCTGTAAATATTATTTCTAAGGTAAAAGTTGCTATGATGCACCATTCACCTTTTTGAAATCAATACACAGTGCAAATTTTAAGTTACTGGAAGTTATTAAGTCAGTGATTGTATTTTATAGCTTCTAGGCTGCTCAGAAGAGGTCTTTGAGAAAGCCTTAACCAGTCGGACTGTAGAGACTAGAGGAGATAAGGTAATGATCACTACACTGCACTCTACTGCACTCTACTGCACTCCATGGCATGACTCGACATTACAGTGACAATAAACTACCAGTGTTACACTCCACTCACTCCACTCCACTCCACTCCACACCACACCACGCTGCGCCGCTCCGCTCCGCTACACTACACTACACTACACTACAGGTCCCCATCCACCCCTATGATTTCTCAATAAGTTTCCTTCATACAGTTGAACTTCTTTAATACAAACACCAAAGGGCCTGGATTATGGAGGATTATGGAGGTATCCCTATCATAGAGGTAGATATTACTGAATTCTGATTTCTTTGGGAACAAGTGAACTGCTCGTGATATAGACTGAGGTGTCCGTATTATAAAGGTGCCCATAAGGAGAGGTACAACAGACTGTACTTGTTGATACTTCCTGGCTGTAGAGCAGCACTGTGGGAGTAAAGTGTCTTGCTCAAGGATATTAGTTCATCTAGTGTTCTGACCATTAGGCCATCACATCCCCACTTTATGTGTTAGTTAGTGGGTACTTTGAACATTTTGGAAACAACAGGATGGAACACAGGTAGCATACATGTACTTTGTAAACAAGGAAGAGGGTTCTATATAGTCTTGGTGCCTGACAATTTTCTTTTTTTGGAGCAAAGAGCCCAAGGCTTTCTTCTTCTTAGAGCCATGATAAAAATGGTGATTTTTATTCCTTATGGATAATTTCCTGAAGAAATGTAATAGG